TAAACACGTAACATCCGCGATGCCCCCTATCCAATCAGAAACCTTCCCTGCCCCAAACCTTGCGCAGACCCGAATAAAGGCGATTAAACTGATCTCCGTGTAAACCCTCATTCGGAATGAATACATCTCATGTAAACTACCTGGAAAAACTTTAATTCTGAATGATTTCATTCAGATTTATGTCATTCTGAATGAGAAGCCATCATGTAACCACACCCATTGTCTCCTGCAGTTTGAACCTTTGAGATAGTGACTCTTGAACTGCAGTAATGAAGAACCTGATAAGGTTTTTTTTTTCTCATCAAAACTCTCAAAGATGCTGAACTGTTATACCTTGGTTTAAGCCAAGGTAGTTACATTTTCGTAGTTGCAAATACCTATAAAGTCTTAAGATGGTTTTTTGATTTGAGTCCTCACATGAGGACATCTTGACCAATTTTACCAATAGTAACAAGATAAGACACTGTTGAAAGTAGTGAAAGTACTCTTTTGAAGACACTGGGACTTTATTGTCTTGTTTAAGGACATTTAGGACTTGATTATTGTGGACAGTGTTTCATTTTTTATACTTATAAGGTCCTGCTGATCCCAAATAGCTAGGAGGAATTAGAAATGCATACCAAACAAAAGTTCAAGTCTCAGGAGGATGTTTAAAAGTAGATGTTGTTTCTACTTTCAACCCGAAATATGGGCTTTTCGTTTGGGTATGTACCTCTTCCACAGCCTCTTATTACATTTTATACATGTCCAAAGAATGGTCCTTAAACATGAGTAATACCAGCATATCCCAAGTCTTTACCAGAAAATAGAACATTTGCAGTAAGGCCTAATTGGGATTATCCAAACCAGATTTTCTGTTTATGTAACCTGTGTCAAATTCTCAATATTTGGACAACCAGTGAAATATTAGTGTGCATGTAGTCAATGGCCTATCAGCACATTATCTTTATGGTGTGCTCTTTCCCACACAGATTTGAAATTAGGTTATACTCTGCAAACAATGCATGTTAACACCTTTAAAGCATCAGTTTTTGCCCTGATCTGACATCTTTCTGTACATCTTTGCAGACAGATTTAGTCACTTTTATTTTCCCTCAGGTTCCTCAGGAAGATGTGGAAAAAGATAGAGACTCTGAAGTTCTAACAAAAGACACTCAAGACTATGCCAGCCCAAAAACAGTAGAGAACATTCCAGAAAACCAGGAGCAGGAAAAGGTGATCCCTGAGTCAGCAGACGTTTCGATGGAGGATGATGTCAAGAGTGACAATAGATCAGAAGACTTGGAAATGCAGTCTAAAGAAGGCACCAGTCCTAACATCTCTGGCTCTTCAGATTTAATCTCAGGGACTCCCCAGAAACCCAATAGTCGGCGTCAGTCCTTTATCACACTGGAGACGTATGCTGAGGGAAAACCTGCCAGTCCAAGCAGTGCGTCTACGTTCACAGGTCCCCTCTTAAAGACCTCCAACAGCCAAGAACGCTCTAAAACCAACAGGAAATCGTCCTCTCGGGCTTCCCGGACATCCACTGGTCCAAACTCTCAGGACTCACAGTCCTCTCAGACGGGAAAAACAAACTCACAGTGTCCTTCGATAGATGCCCTTGAGTCCCCTGTAAGGCCAAAAGGCTCTGGGATAAGAAGTGAGCCAGTAAGACTAACTGAGAGACTGCCCAGTGACCCAACAGAGGATGAAGATGTTATCCCGGACACCCAGACTGAACTGGAGTCCAAGGAAAGTACAAAACTGGCTTCCTCAGTGGAAATGAAGCCGTCAAGCCAGGAAGAGGAGTGTGAGCAGAGTCTGGATGATTCTCAGTTGTCCCAGACTTCTCCAGGCGAACCCAGGCGGTCTGGACGCAACAGAGTCAAACCCCTATTGCCTGGAGAGGACCCTGAGGAACGGGAAGAAAAGTACAATGTGGTGAAAAGGAGGCGTTCTGGAGAGGAACCTAAAAGTGATTCTCCACAGCTGAGCTCAACGGCAAGTAAACCAAACACTAGAGGTAAGCTGGCTGCTGAGGAGGAGAGTAGCAGAATACGAACAAGGGCTCGGAGTGACAGGAGCGAGTCGAGCCAGACCAACTCTCAGGGTAGAGCGCACAAGAAGATGAGACTGTACAGCAACTCACAGGAATTCCTTGATAAACCTGAACTCAGAAGGAGAAGCGCTAGAGAGTCCAGCCAGACTGACTCGCAGTCAAGCATGCAGTCTGATCATGAAAGCCAGTCAAAGGGTCGGCAGAGACGGCAGAGCAAGGTGTCAGTGGAGAACAAGGAGGAGAGTGGAATGAAGACAAAGGTGTTGCCTGAAAAGGAAGAATCCAGCCAAACTGCCAAAAATGAGCGAGTGAAACAAGCCGAAAAGGAGGATGATATGCCAAAAAGAGATTCTCAAATGATCACTTTGTCCCCTCAAACTGGTAGCAGATCCCAAGAGGTTGAGATTGTAGAACAGGCTGAAAAAGGTGCCAGTAAGCTGAAGGAAGATTCTCAAACAATCACTCCTTCCCCTCAAACTGGTGGCAAATCCCAAAAGGTTGAGATTATAGAACAGGCTGATGCCGATGAACTGAAGGAAGATTCTCAAATGATCACTCCTTCCCCTCAAACTGGCAGCAGATCCCAAGAGGTTGAGATTGTAGAACAGGCTGAAAAAGGTGCTAGTAAGCTGAAGGAAGATTCTCAAACAGTCACTCCTTCACCTCAAACTGGTGGCAAATCCCAAGAGGTTGAGATTGTAGAACAGGCTGATGCCGATAAATTGAAAGAAGATTCTCAAACAATTACTCCAACTCAAACTAGTGGCAAATCCCAAAAGGCTGAGGTTATAGAACAGGCTGAAAAAGACTCTGATAAGATGAAGAAAGCTTCTCAAATTATCTCTTCTTCTCCTGAAAGTGTTGGCCAATCCCAAGAAGTTGAACTTATAGAAAAGACCAGTGAGGAAAAGAGAGATTCTCAGATAGCCACTTCTTTGACAAATGACAATTCCCAAGGTAGAAACACAACAGTCAAGTTGGCGAATGAATCAGGGGTCAAAGACGAACACAAGACAAGTGAAGAAACTTATGACATCCTTAGCCAAGAGGGTTCTCAAGGTATCACACCTTCATCCTCTGATAGCCAGACTCGACGTAGATCCAGAAGAAGCAAGGCATCATCTGAGACAGAGTCTGAAGATAAAGGTAAAAATAAAGACTCATTAGGAAGGACCAGGTCTCATTCGCAGGCAGCCTCGTCAGCTGCTGGTCAGGCAGAGGCTAGAGTTAGAGGTAGGCCCAGAAGGAGCAAGGTACAAGAGGAGCTTTCTCAGTCAAGTCCTAACAAGACCCCAGAGAGTTCTCAGTCATTAGATGCGGCGGGATCATCAGAGTCCTCCCAAGGCAAGGGCAGATACTCGAGACGAAGATCCTCCCAAGTGTTAGTATCCAGTGTAGAGTCCTCGGAGTCTGAATCCTCAGAGGCCAAAGAAAATTCCCAAGTGCCCAAAAAGAGAGGCAGGAAACCTCGAGCGTCTCTTCCAAGTCCTCTCACCATTGACCCTAAAGACGGCAAAATTAAAATAGTAAAGGATGATTCTGGTTCTTCTCAAAAGGCAGATTCACAAAGCATAGAAACTGAAACAGATTTAGAGGATTCACAGTTAACCCAAGATTTGCAGGCTTCTGAATTGCTCCAGGTTACGCCCAACACTGAGGAGCAAAGTAAGGAAGAATCGCCAATGGAGGTAGACGTAGAGAAAACTGAGACCAACAACCGTATAATGAGCGACTCGCCCAGAGAGTCACCTCGTAAGGAAGAAAAAGACTCAAACATTGAAAACACCTCTTGTCAGAAAAGTGACACTGGGGACTCTGTTGAAATGCTTGAATCAGTTGGGATTAGTACTGAACAGACTGAGGAAAAGTTGCCCTCTGACACATCTGTTCAGGGCACAACGGCGACTCCTGCTGAGACAACAAAGACACTGCAGGCTTCAGAGTCTCTAGTTGAGAAAGCTGAAGAAGTTTCAGAGTATGCCGTTGATGTTACAGAAAAACGAAGTGACAATTTAGATTCAAACCACCAAGAACATCCCCTTGATCCAGTGGAGGACACAGCTGAGGACAGTCACAGTACCTCCTCTGGACAGGACCACACTGAGCGTCCAAATGTCATAGATGATTTTTCAGAGGAGGACAAACAGTCTGCCTCCAACCTCGATGGCGAATCAACAAACCAGCACACAGAGACTAATGCCGGTGATGACGTCACACCTCTACAGGAAAGTGATAAAGACGACAAATCCCAGACTGCAGAGTGTCAGGACGAAGAGGAAACTCAGACCGCCAACACTGAGAGCAGTGTCGTTGCAAATTTGGATTCTGCTCTGGCTGATGTGTCAGATGCCTCTGGTTTATCAGAACCGACAAGCAACAATGTTTTGCTGGATTCTCCAGCAAAGCTAAAGGACTTGGAGGCTTTAACGGGGGCAGATGTCGGCCAAAGCCCCAGCAGTGGCAGGACCAAGGGAACCTGGTCTCCCTCAGCGTCCCCATCGACCAGTATTCTGAAGAAGGGCCTGAAGAGACCACTTGAGGAGGAGACCCCCTCACCTCTTGTCAAAGTAAGTGACAAAGCAACCTACTTGCACATTTGAAAAACACAACTTTGACTTTAAATATCTTTTTTAAATTCCATTTAACTTTGCAGTCCAGACGTGTGTCTTTTGCGGATCCAATCCAACATCAGGAAATGGCAGATGACATTGATCGTCGCAGCCCTGCAATCAGAACCAGCTCCCCAAGAAGATCCAAGGGTAGTGGTATCCCACAGCCGAAGGTATAACCAAAGCCAGCATTGTTCTTAATTGATATTTTCCTAATCTGCATAAACCAAACTTTTTCTACAGCACATAGTCTGCTTTGATCTAACGTGACACCCTCTCTGCTCCCTATTCTAGCATGTCACTACTCCAACAAAGGGCATGCTGATCTTCAGTCCCAGAAATCTGCACAGTCCAGGTTACAAGAGCTCCAAGAAATGCCTGGTATGCACACAAATGAAAAATCAACTTTTATTGTTGTCACCACTTACTGGTGGTTCAGTTTTCTGGGGGCGGGTATTAAAGAAGACGCAGAGCAAGATTAACATTCATTTGGGGTCATGTGTCTGTCCACTGGTCCAGTGTTTGCTCTCCATGTAGCTCTGCTTTGGAAATATCTGACTCTGAAGCTGCTGGAAAGACTGTAAATATTACATCTGCTTTACACCAACATGTGATCATTATCGTTCAGTGCATAGCACGCATTCTTTGTCAAAACCTGGGACAACACAGTCCTGCACCAGGCAGGTGACCCACAAAAAGGTGGTTCACTGAGGGTATTTTGTCTTCATTTTATTTCTGGGTTTTTATTCTGGGTTACCAAAGAACATGTGATTCGGGGCACCCAGTTGCTCATCTGTTAGAGCAGACACCAGATGTTCAAAGGTCTTGCTGCAGTGGCCAGGGCTTCGACCCATGGCCCTTTACTACACGTCATACCCCCACTCTCTAACCCTCTTTCACGCTAATACTGTCCTATCGTTAAAAGCAATAAATCACTGTTAATATCAATCTACGCACCCAAGAACTGATGCTGTGGATACAAAGTAAAACTAGGTCCCTTTTTAGATGTTAACAAACTTATTAAATAACCAACAACTCACAGCCATTGTTTTCGAGGGCACAAGGAAAGTGTCAAGGGAGAAGCTCCTATAATGTGCTCATTTACTTACCCACAATGGAATTTGACCAGCGACACTTTCATGTGATTCAGTTTTAGTGTAAAATATTGAATGGTGCAGGGTTCTGTTCACAGTCAAAGGATTTTAGTCCTGACAGTAGATGCGACTCTTTTGCCCTCCAGATTTCTGAAATGAGCCAGGAGCCACGGCCCGTCTCCAGAGACTGTATCTACCCTGCTCTGGTTGGCTGCTCCACACCTGTAGAAGCTGTGCTGCCTCAGATTTCCTCCAACATGTGGTGAGTACAGAGCAGCTTCATGAAATGGTCAAATGTTCATCAGTTGTTTTTTTATCTCTTGTCAAATCAGGTGTGTCTCATTGTTACTGCTGTTGATTCTCCTCACAGGTCTCGTGGTTTCGGGCAGCTGGTTCGAGCCAGAAACATCAAAACAGTCGGTGACCTCAGTGCTCTCACTCCCAGTGAAATCAAGACTCTGCCAATTCGCTCACCTAAGATCTCTAATGTAAAAAAGGCGCTTAAAATCTATGAACAACAGGTACGCTGAGGGGGCAGAGGGCTGCACACAGCACACACAACACACACACACATGATCACATACAGTTTACAAAAATACATTCAGGTGAACTTGTATTTGACGTCTGAATAATTGTCTTGCAGCGTAAAGGACGAGGTGGTGATGAGTTGAAGAGTTTTGATGAAACAGAGATGATGACGTCTGAACTGGAGGAGACCAGTGCTCCTCACAACCAGGACGAAGAAGATAAGACCTCAGGAGAGACACTAGGTTTGTAAAAAAGTCTCTGTACATAATGAGGCTCGCTCATCGCCACGCTGTAGCTTCATATTTAACATATAGATGTAAAAGTGGAATTGATATTAACAAACTCTAAATGTCAGGCTCTCCTTCTCAGAATTTAAATGTCATATTTCTATCTGCAGCGATGGCGCTGATGGACGATCCCGTCCCTGCAGACGGGAGGCCGGAGCAGGACGGCTCCAGGAATGAGACGCCTGACACGCTGGCCGGAGAGCAGAGAGCTGACGGACTGCTGCAGTCAGAGGTGGAGGCACTCAGCGGCAGGATGACGCCACTAGAACTCAGTTACTGCTCCCCGCAGCAGCTCGTCCAGATTCACGATCAGCTGGGAGGCATGATGAGGCGCGTGGTCGTGGAGCTGGAGACACGTCTCTGCCAGACGGAAGGAAAACCCTGAAGAGACGACACTTGTGCTGATCAGACGGATACACAGGTGTTATAGGAACGTGCAGAGTCCTCAGCCTCGTCTCGCCTCAGATTTTTCTTTACTTAAGGTGTTTTTAATAAATGCTAGCAGCACTTATTTTCCATCTGTAGCTCCAGCTGTTGGATAGTTTATTTGATTTTAAGAAACACACAAAGGGAAGCACAGTCACACTATTTACTACGATTTTTAAACTGTGTGAAAAGACAATTTTAGTAGTTGTATTCTGGACATGGACGGTATTTTCCTACGGTCCTATAGACTGTTATAAAGGGCGGACGTACGGCTACGGCTGTAGAAGAAAAATGTTTCTCTCCACAGGCTGTTCCACTTTTGTACATATGCTTTGTCTCATGTGGTTTAAATTCTCCATGTGCCTGTTTTTAGGTTGTTTACGATCATCAGTGCTCTTGTACATTTTGTAGGATTTTTTTTAGTTTTAAATCTTTTCTGTCCTTTCACTTTAACATCTTACTGCATTTTTAAAGTCCTGACTATAGGTGGTAGTGGACAGTCTGCACTCGGTGTGGTTTTAAATACTTCAATAAAAGACAGAACTTTTAATGATTGTTAACATTTTTAAGGTCTTTGTTCAACGTGCAAACATCAGGTCAGAACGAAGAGGGACCCCTTTACTCTCTGTTTAAAATGCACCTCATATCTAGATCTGATTTAACCTGATTACACTTACACCTGTGTCTCAAGTGTCCACATTGAGATCCAAAACTGTCCAGGACCGGTTGTAGCTGTTTTCCACAGCTTGCTCAGCCATCACCTCATAACAGGTTTGGTTTCTATCTAAACTGATGAGTTTTGCTTCGTATACTTATGTTGGACCAAACTGAAAGCACACGTGCCCCTTTTCGACGGTCATGGGCTGGCTCTGCTTGGTTTGGTTTGGTTTGGTTTGGGCCATTAGCCCAGCACAGCAGGGATTTGCGCTTCCATGACAACAGGTCTACCCGTTGAAGGTGTGCCTTTTACCAATGCTCATCCTGAGTGATGATGTTTAAAAGCAGCGAGCTGATCCACGGCTGAAGTCTCCGTTATTGTTGCTGCAGGTGTTTTTCCATCACACAGTAGGGCAGGTAAAAGAAGTTTACCTGTTGGAGGTGAGCTGTCTGAAGCTCTTCGGCATCGTCATCCTGTGGCTATTTCTGATTTCACTCTTCCTCCCTGCCTTATCATTAGACTTGTTTTTATAGAAGAAAAGCTACAGACAAAGTTGTGCTAATTCAGTGATAAACACATTTAATTTCCTGTAGACTCTTCACAATAAAAGTTATATTTTTATGTAAAAACTTTAATTGTGAAGCAGCAAAATAAGGAAATGTTGAGTTTTCAGCTGATGGCGAACGTGAAACAGTAAAAAATAATCAGATATCTAAAGTATAATCAGGATGCAGGAGAGAAACTAAACTCCAAACCACAGAGATTCAGTCAGAAGCTACAGACGTACTGAGAGCTGAACACAGAGACTTTAAAAGACACCTGTCTGGTGAGTGGAGTCATGCAACAAACGCCTTGTTTGGGTCGTGGGATTGCTGCAGTCAGTGAGACATCTCCACTATTTGCTTGAGTGCTGGTGGCTCGGCGTCTGGACCTGCTCCTGAGAAGGACCATCTCTGGCGCAGCTTGGCGTGGCACGGTGTGTCTGAACTGACAATGGAAATAGAAATTGGTGCAGCCAAGAGTGACAATGGAAAAAGGGTATAAATGGGCACAGACACGATATCAACCTTTTGTATATAGATAGAGTAGAACTAATTGTTTTAAACAGGCTTTTTCCAGCAAACCGTCTGCGTGTTACAGTTAAACCTAACCATGGAGGAACATTTCACTTCCACCACTTCTCACTGGAGAAGGAAACACCAACTGTTGTCGCAGAGATGTGCCTGTTGTTAGGATAAAACACAAAAATAATCTAACAGTTTTGAAAACATTTAACCAAAACTAAAATGTTTTAGGTTGTCTCACACCTCACGGCACCATACTGGTAAAACACTTCTGAGCATTTAAAAGAAGAGGTTGGAACAATAATTTCAAATCACAGTGTAAAATATTCTGCACATCTGTAACGACCACCCTTCTGTGCAGACAGGAAGGGACGACAACCCAGAGGAGCTTCATTTCTTAGCTGGTGTCCATCCTGGCATTGTAGGCGTCTAACTGTGCGTCGAGTTCTGCTACCGCCGCGGCCACCCCGACCTCTTTCTCCAGCACCACCTGAACCACGTCCTCCACCATCAGTGGCAAACGGTGTTCTGTAACACCACCCCCTTCATAAGAGCAGGACGGTGCCATGTACAACTATCTGCAAGAGTGGAAACAACCCTCCTGGAAACTGCAGGTTGACCTGGATCAGGGACTCAACTCTCCATCAGAGATTGCTACAACCAATCTGAGGCCCGACCTGATCTTGTAGAAAGAAGAAGAAAATCTGCACACTGAATTAGAGCTCTTCCTCAGGCAACTTCTTTTTGAATTTGCCTGAGGAAGACCATTTGGGTCGAAACGTTGCATTTTAGTCAATAAAGAAACCTGGGAGCTCTAATTCAGTGTGTGGATTTTCTTCTTCTTTCTGCATGGACCCCTATTATCCAGCACCTGACCAAAAACAGTATTGGATGTGCACCCAACTACTCTGTCTTCTGTGGACCTGATCTTGTGCCAACCTCACAGAAGTCATTGTACACTGAGGAACTAACAGAATCATGGAAGGCTGCAGCTGGGAGCCTTGTGGCCTGGAGTACACAGACTGAGCAGCTGAGGCAGAACCACGAGGCAGGCGTACGCAGGTGCTCCTTGTAGAGGATGTGTAGCCACATCATCATCCAGGGTTCTGAATGTGGGGGGGTGCGAGGACAGGCCTGACAAACTACATGTCACTGTCAGAGACTGCTGAGCGAAGCAGCAGTTGGTTTTGGATGAAGAGGACGGACCACAACTGTTCTGCAAGACGCCCAACACGAGGGGTAAAAGTAGAGGGGGGCACATCTTGGAATCAAAGTGTCGCTGTTGAGCCCTCTGGAGGTGTCGTGGGCCTATCAACGACACACCAATGAAGTGATTACCTGTCTCCCACTCAGGACACAAGACATCAGGCAGGTGCTGATTACTCTTATGGATTGTACTCAGTCCTACGAGCTCAACTTCCTCCCTGGTTTGATTTATAGTTCAGGAAAACACTGAAACACCTGTTTGAGGTGTGACGTTCCTCCACAGGACAACATGACCTGCAGTGACACAACACTCAGTACGACGAGTCTCAGTTTCATCGCTCTGTTTCTGTTCAGACATGATTTGTGTGTACGTTCATGATGCTTCACACAGACATGACTGCATGTATATATAAAACATATTTTCCCTCCTGCTGACCTCACTTTAAGGTCTCTGTGAGTCGCAGTATCAGTGAGCGTTCTACATTAAGCTGTGTGATCACTGTGAGGATCTTGGCTCAGTTCCTGGAATGTAAATGGAAAAACAGTAACGATAATATAATACAATCTGACAGAAGGTGCCACTGACTCCTCTCACTGGTCCATCCTCTCCAGCGCGGCGGCGGCGGCAGCAGTGGCAGCGCCCTGATAAGCAGACTTCTCTTTGGCTCAGTGTGTAAGTAATTATCTGATTATCCCTGCAGAGCGCTGCCAGAGGCTGCGTTGCATTTCCACAGTTTATTGAGCTAAGTTGGACTCAGCGTGCAAGCGTAGCAGAATGGGCTCCAGCTCGGCTGGACGATGACCAGGAGGAGCTCCGGCTCCAACAGACATCTCCACTGCAGGAGGAGGAGAGAGGCCACACAGCGCCGGGAAGAGGAGGGGACGACACGGAGGTAAGACACACGGCACGGATACAACACATGAGAACACACTGAGGCATTTTAACCTCCTCTGATGTCTGAACCATGAGAAGCATCTGAACCAGCAGAGAACAGTCCTGGTGAAACAGCTGAGCTACTGTGTCAGGATGAACATCTGGAGATGCACCATCTCCTCTGAGAGGGTCAGCAGTTTTACACATCCAGATGTTTGAATTTAGGAAACAGTCTTTATCTGTCACTGAGGCTGATGGTGTAATTCTCTTGACAGGAGTGAGTTAATTATCTTTGGTCATCAACACTTGTGAATTCAAATCAGTTTGCATGAGAACTGTCATTGTTTATGCTTTACTTCTGGAATAAATATGTTTTCTTAAATTCTGAAATATACAAACTGTAATTAACTGGAGCTGCATCTACAGTTGATGAGATTGTTTCCCTTCCACTGCAGACTTTATTGTTTATTTCATTTAAAGCTTGAAAACAAAACTGTCTGTGTTCTGCAGTTCAGGCGTGTCACTGCAGGAAGAGTTGCACTGCACTGACAGAAGAAAGACTTAAAACAAGAGAAAACATTGTTTATCCTGAGGGAAATTGTTGTGCAGCAGTTGAAATACAAAGTTTGAGGAGTGCAGATAAAAAGCATGCGATAAAGACTAACATAACAAAGCAGAGAGCAATGTATAACAAATATAAAACTCACTATAACTATATCTCTAATAACAAGGTGCAAAACTATAACAAAATGACAAACAGTGAGGTGCATCAGTGCGAACCATACAACATACACAATAACAGGTTACCAGTATGAATGATAAATAAGTGTGGTTGCTTCAAATGTCTTTGTGCGGTGTCAGAACTTATTGTAATTAGTGCAAGAGTGCACGGTTAATACAGAATGTCCGTGATTGTGTTTGTGATCTTTCCTCAGTGTCACATTATTGCACATCATGTTCAGTGAGCCACGTATGAAGAGTTGAGTCCGTCTGAAGAAGACATAGTGTGTGTTAGGAGGAGAGACAGAATCAGGGTTGGGGTCACCTCAGGTCCTCTTATCTCCGCTGCACATCTCTCGACCGGAGCTAGATGAGTTATAGAGATTAAGGAAACAGGTTTCAGAGTCTTATTCTTATAAATGAAACAAGATCTTAATCCACCTGAGAGAACTCGCCTTTACTGAAAAAAGTTGTTCTCAACCACTGAGGGTTTGTTTGTATGTTTTGTCACATGGCAGAAGTTCTTATGTTTCAGTCATTGTATTAAACTTCAGTTCTTGTTTGGATAACATTCAGCTGTTGTTACAGGACGACAGGAGATGCTGCCTCAGCTGGTTTTGGGATGGACTGCCTTGCTCAGCGGCCTCCAGCCGGCTGTTGCCTCTGTTACCACCAGTGAGTACAAACAGGAGACAGAAGCAGCAGAACATCCCATAACATTTATTTCTTTTTATTTATTTATTTATTTAACCTTTATTTAACCAGGTGAAGTCCCACTGAGATTAAAAATCTCTTTTGTGAAGGAGACCTGGCCAAGACAGGCAGCAACAATAAACAATAAAAGCAGTTCCAGACAGAACAACAAAAACAACAATACAGGGAATTAAACATAAAAACAATCTCAAGAATACACATCATCAAGCACTGATGCATCAAAACACTGACACTGTAAAGATTCAGACTCTGTTTCTTTCATTTTAGATTTAAAAGCAGTCAAAGTAATAAGATTATCAAGTTTTAACACATTCTGCAGTGTGTTCCATGACGAAGGAGCAGAATGCTTAAAAGCCCTTTTACCATGATCAGTGCGTGCAAATGGCACATTAAGCAGGAAGAGGTCTTGAGAACGCAAAGAGTACTGCCCCACTTTCTGCACAATAGATATACACAGATAATGTGGGAGCAGACCAAGAATAGCCTTATAAATGAACATGTACCAATGGCACATCCTACGCAGGGCCAGCGCACACCATCCTACCCTAGAGTACAACTCACAGTGGTGAGTGAGGGGTTTGCAGTTTGTAATGAACCTCAAGGAGGCAGGGTAGGCTGCATCAACCTGCTGAAGACATTGTGCAGAGGCATGCATATATAAAAGATCACCATAGTCCAGTACAGGTAAAAAGGTGGCAGCAACAAGACGCTTTTTCACATGAAAAGAAAAACACATCTTATTGCGAAAATAAAACCCCAACTTTAACCTCAGCTTCTTCACCAAGCACATCACATGTGACTTAAAAGTGAGCGAGTCATCGATCAAGATGCCCAGGTATTTATATCAATTTACAACCTCTATGATGTTACCATCAAGAGTGACCACTGAAGGAACATTTAGTGGCCCATTTCTGGCATTGCTGAACAGCATGAGTTTCCACTTGTCTGCGTTGAGAACAAGTTTCAGCTCAAGTAAGGTATGTTGAACCACATTAGAAACATTTTGCAAAGATTCAATGGCCTGTACAAGAGTTGACGCACAACAATAAATCACTGTGTCATCAGCATAAAAAAGAAAATTTGCACCTGGTTCTGACACACTTTGACCCAGATTATTTATATAAATAGTAAATAAAAGTGGACCTAATACAGAGCCCTGTGGTACACCCTTGGAAACAGTTACAGTATCTGAGCATAGATCTTCACTCTTAATGCACTGGGATCTGTCACTAAGATAATTGGAGAACCAAGCAACTGCAACTGCAACATAACATGGAGTTGGTGCTTAGTCACCACTTGTCTTCTCTCAGGACAGGGTGGGAGGGAGTTCGAACCAAATGTGCATGTACACATATCACTGTATGTCCTCACACAGGAGAAAAGGAGAGCAGTTAGTGTGTGATGCTGGCTTTTCTCTTGGTGGTTTTTCATTTATCTAAAATGTGAAGTGTTGTGATTCCAGTGTGGATGTAGCCGTCCGAGGTCGAGGGCTCCGCAGGTTTTACCTTCACTAGCTGGAGAAAAAACTGGCTCAAGTTACAGAAAAATCATTTATCATGATTGTGGACCAGATACTGTAGGGCAACAGCTAGTGATCTAACAGACGGTAACTAACATGACCTGAACAGGAACATTGAAGCTCCTACACACCTGGAACATGAGAGAAGTTTAGAGGGAAGTCTCTAACGGGTCACTACAGAGCTTCACAACATCAATTTACTCTGTGTGTGTGTGTGTGTGTGTGTGTGTGTGTGTGTGTGTCTCTGTAGGATTTCTATCTAGCAGAGACAGCAGGTGGTCACCTCGGAGATGTGACGTCTTCATCCCTCCTCCTCCTCCACCACCTGCGTTTCCTACAGTCAAACGGAAAGCAGAGCTGATGGTGATGATTCTTTTTTCTCAAATCCTCCACATGGGGGCGTAAAATTCTAAATGTATTCTAAAAAACTGAATCAAGTACTCACCCCTTGTTACCTTTACCGCCACCTGTTTGTCTCTCAAGCTTCCACGGTGAGCTGAGAAAGTTCTTGATGAAATGAAGTGAAGGGCCTCCGTGTTTATCAGAAACAAAACTGTATCAAAACATCTGCTTACAAACTCTCGCCCAACTGCTGCAGGATAATCTGAGTCTTATTTATCCAGTCGGATGCTCAGTACTCTACAAACACATTTATTTTCACTAAAACCTTGGCCTAATTTTTACTTCTGTGGCTGTGAATTCAGTGCAGCACATAATTTAACACATGCCTGCTGGGACCAGAACCATCTAGAGATCCCACCTCTCAGCTCTGATGTCCAGTCAAACGTCTGAGGTGTCAGCTGCTCCTGACGTGCAGGCAGATTTTTCAGGTGTGGCGCGGCTCTGTGGAAGCTTTTCTGCAGAAGTTTAAATTAGGCATTACTATTAAAACACTTCAGCTTGAGCAGTCGTATGCATGGTTGAGTAGCACACCTGGGCAAGTGTGTGCGTTTTAACTCTGCTCAGTGGAATGCACGAGCAGTGGTCAAACACATGCACTTTGCTGATGTGCTGAAGTGTTTTAAACAGGAAGGTTTTAGTGAAAATGTGTATGTTTGGGAAGTACTGGATAAATGAGACTTTAATGACACTGCAGAGGTTATCTGAGAGTTTGTTCACAGATGTTTTGATATCGTCTTCCTGTTGTTAAACGTGGACCCCAGTGACGTCAATTCATCAGGAATTTCCTCAGTTTTTGGATTCTTTGTTCACCGTGGAGGCATGTGAGAAAGACAAAGTGTTCTGTATGAATTCAACACAACACAGGGTTAGTAACTGATACACAGATGATCTTTCTGTGAGTCAAGTATTTCTTTAAAACTAAATCATGCTGATCTGCCTTTAACTCCTCAGGTTGATATAACCGAGCAAATCACAGGAGCAAAAGGGGAAAAGGTATGACTCACCTCCTTTATGGATTCTGCATCTTTCTGGGACCAGTTTGGGGCAGCAGCTCAGGTCATAGGGACTGGGGGTGGGAACCAGGGGGTCGTCGGTTTAAGTCCCCGTACGGACCAATATGGAGCGTAGACTGGGAGCTGGAGAGCAAGGCACTGAACCCCCAACTGCTCTTGGCACCTGTCCATGTGCAGCCCCCTCACTGTGGCATCTGGTGCATGTGTGTGTGTTTCAGGGCCGTGTGTAGACTGAGCAAAATTGAATTTGAGTTGCATTTGTATTTTAAATGGTGAAAGTGAGAAAATCAAGGCTACCATACAACTTCTCCATATTCATTCACTGCAGCAGTGTTTATACAATGACAGTGTGTTATAGGCATCATACAGCACACTTTAATAGTGTTTCTGTTTGTAGGGCTGCAGAGGACCCAGAGGACCCAAGGTACACACACACACACACACACACACACACACACACACATACACACACACACGTATTTAACCCCGTCATGCTGCATGTAAAAATGTACAAAATCCTGTATAAGAAAAGGTCATAAAATCAAACTGTGTCAAACTGCTGTGTGTGTTTTAGGGCCGACCTGGTGTGATGGGTCCAGAGGCAGAACCTGGACCACCAGGAGTCATGGGACCACCAGGTCAAAAGGTGACAGGAAGACTCTGCATGTCTGTCATACACTGACGTACAGCTGAGTCATTTTGTGTTTTCTGTAACTGCAGCGTGAAGCTTTTTACAGCACATTCAGCTCATATTCAGCCTCTGACCCACAGAGACTTTTGTCACGTGCTTTAATTACAGAAAACAAACATCAGAAAACACATGTAGAGCTGTGTTTGAATTATTATCACCATCTGAACAGCTGCGCGCAGTTTATATTAAAGTCCCAAATGATCCATGTGGGCAGATCACATCAGAGTAATAAAGTCTCATTCAGAGTCACTGTGATCCTGTCCTGTGAACATTAGCTGTGTATAAACTGTATGAATCTACTGTAACAGTTAACGTGCTGCTGTTTGTCCCCACAGGGAGAGAAGGGGGACAGAGGCTGGAGGGGTCTGTACGGAGACATAGGAACTCCTGGGATGATGAAGGTACACTGGAGCCTCACGCTGCGTTCGTTCACTCTCTGTTGACCTGTAAATGACTGAATATGATCATGTTTCAGCATCATATACAGTCTGGTTTATTTTTACCACGAGGTTTTGTAGACTGAAGTGAAATGTAAAACTGGACAACAGTGAGTAGTGTTTGTGAACGCTACTTTACCATCATTTATGATTGTGCACACAACAGTTTCACCTTTTTGTTTTGAGGAAAAACCTCTGCAGCTGCTCTAGACTTGTTTTTATACTATTTTTCTGCTATATATTTTTTTACCCTCTGTGCAAACAAAACAAAGTGTTTTAAAGTGAATGTAATTACTGTAATAGAATTTAATATAGAACTAATAACGTGTGTGTGTGTGTGTGTGTTCACAGGGCAGTAAGGGACGTAAAGGCTTCAGGGTGAGACACATGATGCTGCATGTCTTCTTCTCTTATTGCTTTATACACTTTAAAGACTTCTGGCTTCACTAAACAGCTCTCTCACAGTCTGATCTGTTATTATCCGTCCATCAGGGTCATAAAGGTGTGAAAGGAAGAAGAGGACCAAGTGGAGAGAAGGTGAGGGGAAATGGAAATGTGACATTATCATCTTCATCATATTTTCTATGAATGAATGAATAGGTTTGTATTGATCAGTGTGTGTGTGTGTGTGTGTGTGTGTGTGTTCAGGGTGAGCACGGCGTCCCCGCAGCGCCAGGAGAGAAGGTAGAAGATCAGCTGACATGACAAACGTTAGGTTCAGAATAAAAGTTATATGAACACATGAGGACTGTGGGTGAAGCTGTGAGAGCTGTTCTGTGCTGTTCCAGGGCGACCCCGGCCTGAGGGGCGATGCAGGGCAGAGAGGTGAACAAGGACCCAGAGGAGAGGCTGGAGGTCGAGGAGCTACAGTAGGTTCATACAGCAGATACACATGTAGACACACAGAGAGCTGACACGTCAGAGAGACGTCTGATCACAGTTATTCAGTCTGTAACTCTGAGTGACTGCAGGTCTGATTATTATGTCAACACTTGTTGAACTGATGTTACTTTTATAACATGAATCGCTGCCTGCAGGGGTTTAAGGGACCTCGTGGACCTCCAGGGAGGGTGGGTCATCCTGGTCCTGCAGGACTGCCTGGTCTGACCGGAGTGGCTGGACGTCCTGGACAAGGTGGATATGAGTATTGTTACTGAGCACTAATTATAGTTGATTTTTGATGGTCAAAATGACTCAAATCTTGGCGTGGGTAGGACAATAGGGAAAAAGGTTTAGGACTGGCTGCACAAACACCTCAAGATTTCTCCTTAAAGCTACTCTTACCTCGCTTGCATTTCTCACAGCACATCCACAACTCCACCTCCCTCCATTACGTCCTCATTACATCTATGATAGATGTAGGTGTTGGCATGGTAACGTTAGATACATGGAAGAGGAGAGTGAGTGTAATGTTACAACCAAGACAGTCAAACGCAACCCCGGAGTTTTAAAAGTTGCCTTATACAGTTGCACAGAATCCCTTACAGGTTTCCTTAGTTAAGAAAGAACTCATTTACTGCGTTGAAAGAGATTTCACAGCTGTAAAAGTTTCCATGGAGATTGTTTGTTTGCTTGGACTGATTGTTGTGACGCCTGTTATCGTCTCTCAAGGTGAGCTAATAGTTAGATAGTTCAAAACTGTCAGAAGAAAAGAAGACCGGAAAACCAGACAGGTCAGAGGAGGAAGAGATGAAACGTCTGGAGGAAAACGATCAGAGAACGAAGAAACTACAAAGTAAATCTGATCCTTAAATATCAGCAAACAGAAAACGACTGTAAGGAAAATGAATTCAGTCAAATCTAAAGTGTAAAATCAGAAGTGTCTCCATCAGGTTCTCCTGCTCACAGAACACTCTGCTCTTTTTTTATTTATCACCATAAACTCGGTCATGTTGCAGTTAAGACAGAGTCAGAGGGACCTTTAAAGGGATAGTGCACCCAAAAATGAAAATTCAGCCATTATCTACTCACCCATATGCCGAGGGAGGCTCAGGTGAAGTTTTAGAGTCCTCACATCACTTGCAGAGATCCAAGGGGAGAGGAGGTAGCAACACAACTCCACCTAATGGAGGCTGACGGCGCCCCAGATTCAAACGTCCAAAAACACATCATTGAAACCACAAAATATCTCCATACTGCTCGTCCGTAGTGATCCAAGTGTCCTGAAGCCCCGACATAAAAAGTTGTTTGGAAAAACCTCATTTGAACTCTGTTTTTAGCCTCATTGTAGCCTGTAGCTCTGACTGCCTCTCTGGGCACCGCGCACTTTTATGTCGGGGCTTCAGGACACTTGGATCACTACGGACGAGCAGTATGGAGATATTTTGTGGTTTCAATGATGTGTTTTTGGACGTTTGAATATGGGGCGCAATCAGACTCCATTAGGTAGAGTTGTGATGCTACCTCCTCTCCACTTGGATCTCTGCAAGTGATGTGAGGACTCTAAAACTTCACCTGAGCCTCCCTCGGCATATGGGTGAGTAGATAATGCACTATCCCTTTAAGGACTTAAAGGAGAATCTTAACTTAAGGTGTTTTGTTTAACCAGTGGTCAGATGTTAGAATCAGGGACATCATGTTTCACACTGAAAGCCAGAGAAGCAGCAGCTCAGGAGGAAGACTTCCTGTGATCCCTCCACTGTCCCGGGCCGCTTTTAAGAGACTGAAAGAAATCAAATCTGAATCCGTCTGTGAGAAAAAGATTTACTTTTAAACGAAGGAATTTAGAGCAACAGGACAGTAAACATGATGTGGATGTGTCGTCACACTGATGTTGTGTTGTGTGTTGCAGTGTACATCCTGCCAGGCCTGCAGGGAGACACAGGAGACCGAGGTCCTCCTGCTGATTGTAACTGTTCACAGGTTCAAACCCCACAGAGGCAGCTGGACAGAGTCAGCACGGTCAGTGTCAAACACTTTCACTGCTCAATGAAACATACGTGAGCTCAGTTTTATTGTCAGTGGTCGCTGCGCCGTAGTGACTGTGGTGTCACTCTGCAGATCTTCATCGCTGACGGAGAGAAACAGATGAGGAGGCTGCGGGGGGAGAACATGATGGTGCTGCGGACAGACAGAGGAGCTCTGTACATCTACGCTGACTCTCAGTGGATCAACGTGCTGGTAACTGCCTGCTGGAGACACATTAAAGCCCCACAATAAACTATTACTGTTTACTTTATCCTCATCAGCTGTTCCTGTCTGTTTTCATGCTGCTTCCTGATTGGACCAGGACTCCAGACACTGACCCCGCTCCTTTAACACAGGCTGAAGTTACACCCTGAAGTCCAGCAGCTCAGACTGGGGTCAGACTGGGGTCATACTGGGACGTCTCCAGGTGTGAATGAATGTGTGATCAGGGTCATGTTGAATAAAGCTCAGCCTGTCGTCTGTACAGCTCCTCTCACGTTGTAATCATGTTTTTCAGTGAGTCTTAACTTTTCCTCTAACATGATTTATACGTGCACGTTTTCTGATCCAGCATGCTGTAACAATGCTTCATTTGGAAACACTTAAGCTAACCTTAAAGGGACAGTTCACCCCAAAATCAAACACACATTCATCCTCTCACCTGCTGTTCATCAGTCTGGATAGTTTTGGCGTGAGCTGCCGAGTGTTGGAGATATCAGCCAAACTACACCTGCCAACCGAATCACCGCACAAACGGAGTTGAGCATCTGCTCATGGACGAGAGGCTCGTGCTCCTGACAGCACGAGATGTAAACATAATAGTGTCCTACTCGGCTGAGCTGTAACGTTAGCGAGCTAGCAGTAGATGCACGCTTCCTTCTGTGCAGTGATACGGTTGGTGGGTGCAGTTCAGGAGAAAGAAAATAGTTCCTGCAAGGGATGGGTACTGAAACCAGTTATTAAACAGGCCCCAGGGCCAATTACTAAAGACGGTAGTATTGATAAGCTCCAATGTGTCTGCTATCAGTACTGGGAAAATTCAGACAATATATTTCTTGTTCATTTATGTCACATAAACATCTTGCACAGTTTTTATCTCACCGTGTCAGTTTCTAATCTGCAGTCAGATTAAGACATTCGTCACTGATGCTTTTTTGAGCTTTCTTGAGCTCTCTGAGGTGTCTACCATTGTTCCATGTCAAAGTTTTTTGGGGGGAGTTTTTCCTGATCAGCTGTGAGGGTCCAAAGGACAGAGAGGTGTCTGTTGTAAAGCCTCTGAGACAGACTGTGATTTGTGACATTGGGCTTTATAAAACTTTAAATTAAATTCTAAACAATGCTGTATTTATACACGACTGTTTCTCTTAAAAAAAAACCAACCTAAAAGAACCAAAAAGTCTGTGGATTATTTTGAGATGTGACATCTCCACAGTCAGTATCTCTGCAGCTCACACCAAAACTATCTCGACAGATAAACAGCTCTACAGGGAAGAAGAGAATTTTTTTATTTTAGAGTGAACTGTCCCTTTAACTCTATTTTTCATTGGAATGATCTCCTGTTTTAAAACCGTTTTATTTCATTAATTTGCATTATTGGGTTAATGTATCACCCAGTATGACTCGGCTCCCACAGAGAGATGAATAAAAGTCAGATTACTGTCTCTTACACTGAAGTTTTAATTCTTTAGTTTTCTCTTCCATTATTTAGTCTCCATCTTTCTTGCAGGAATTTATTAATTTAATTTGTGTGTATGCAGCTGGGATCAGGTTGTGGTTTGTTGCTGAATGTTAAAGACAGAGGGTCTGAATGCTTCACTGACAAGGTCTCACTCACTGGAAGCAAAACACATGCAGATACAGCAGAAGGAGGAGCGATAATAAACAGCCTCTGTAAGTCACTAAAGCAACATGACAAACAGCCCGTCAGCTCAAACCGACTGTCTGTCTGCGTCAGTGTTTCCTCACACCAACATCAGACACACTGAACACTTTAAAAAGATCCGGGGTTCTTATATCAAACATTAGACGAGAACCTTGGGCTCGATTCTTTAACATGCACTGGCAAACTTAAGAATTTCTGATAGTTCAGAGTTCACAAGTCGTGATCTTCGAGTGCTTTGAAAGTCATTTCTGTTTCCTAAACGTAATAAAAATAAAACCACCCAACATATTGAACTAGTTTAGTTTCCTACACCTTCAGCTGCTTGAGAGCAGAGTTTACCATCGACTCAACTTTCTCATGTTGAAAAATGACGTGACACATTTAATTAGAAGGCAGTGATACTTTCATATTCACCTAAAGTGGAGCATTTTGACTCCAGTAGCTCAGTCCATGGGGGACCTAGGTCAGGGACTGGAGGGTCGCTGGTTAAAGTCCCTGTCCCTGTGCCCCTGAGCAAGGCACTGAAGCCCCCAACTGCTCAGAGCACCTGTCCAAGGCAGCCTCCTCACCCTGACATCCCTCTGTGTAATTTTTTAAGATTTTAATTTTCATTCATCACTGTTGTGAGTCGAAAGTGATTCTGAAATTCTCCAAGCTGTAAAAGTGTGCAGCCTGTACACGGAATAAAAAAAGGTTTTAACATTTCGTCAACTAAAATGTGTTCCGTCAGTCTGCGGCCTGGTGCCTGTCCTCTAAATTTTGCCTCGACAGCGATGGCTGATCTTGAGTCTCTCTAGTTAAGCTAGCTGTGAATTCTGACTCTGTGTTGACAGATTAATTTGCTCTGCAAGTTCAAAGCCCAAATAATCAGAAGACGCCACAGCAGAGTGACCATGTTGTGTTAAAACTTATTAATGAATGCTCATTTAGATCTGTTGGCTTATTTAGACTGAGTAGACTCTGTTACCTTCATTATAAGGCTCAAATATGTTTTGTGACTTCAGACGTTTTCTTTTTCTTTTTGTTTTGACCAAAAATGACTTGTTTGATAGCACAGGTTGCAGACTCCTGACCTAGTGTGACTATTAAGGTTTAATATGATGGACAGTGTGGTGTCAGGAGCTGGACAGACATCACAGAGAGTTTAAAACAGACAGAAAACCCACTCTCCACAAGTTTCAATCTGTAGATATCCAAAGCCTGGAAACAATCAGATTTGACCCGTGTAAAAACTCTCACTTCATTTTGACTCATTTCTCATTTATTTTAAATGCAACAGCAGGTTTGACACCGACAGCAGCCATGTTCTCTGCTCGGTGTCCATGAACAAGACATTTCAAGACATTGATCAGTTTCAAACTGTTTGTTGTTCTTGAGTGTCACTGAAACACACCATGATGTGATCGCTCTCCTGCAGGGCAGTGGGCAAAGGAAGTACTTCTCTCAACCCCCCC